AATGGAGCATATTTTGAAGGAGATAAAATAAATATTGATGAAGATTAAGAATTTTGCGTTTTATTTATTTATGACCGGAAACTTTTCGGTCACAATGTATAGCCCAATTTCAATATGAATTTTAATCATTGTTTTTAATATCCCTGGATAAAAAATCCTAAACCGCTGTTGACTTGAAGTCATAGATAAGTACGAAGGTATGGAGCACAAGCAAATAAGACAAGTGGATCTTTCTTATTGCCTTAATTCTCTTATTATAAATAAATAATATATTGTATATATTGTAATATAAATAATATATAATATATTGAAACAGTTTTCTGTGTACTTGCTTTACATATTTTTTGTAAATATATCTTTAAGAGAGATATAATTGTAGATACAATTAAACTTATTCATTAGTAACTTACTTTTGTTTAAAATTGAGGGAGAGAGACGGAGAGATGGCTTTAAAATGAATAGTACAATTTTACAGAAAAATACTGAGGGCCATTTTGAATATTCTAATTAAATTACTAATATAATTTACTTACCATGTATTGTTAATTACGTTTATAATGCAAATATGAAGGTAGTTGAATAAATTAGCACTGACTTCGATTTGTTCTAGCTTACTAAAGTATTTAGCGTTCATAAAATTAGTAAATACAATTTATTATAATATTATAGATATACTTTGAATATATCTATACAATGTGCAGTGAATACAAATTAATGCAATAACAAACCTATTTGTCTAAAGAAGTGACATAAGAATTTATTTTTTATTAGTAAAGGTAACGAAAGTAAAATTAATTACGAATAATTTATTTTTATTTGTAAAGATATTTTATATAATTATAGGTATGTTATTAATTTTTTATTTCGGCACAAATAGAATCATAATTTAATATTTACCTATATATACAATCATATTCTTTTATACTTTATTGCAAATTGTATTATTTTTATGAAAATAAAAATGCAATAAATCATATTGCCAGAGTATTTATTGTAAAGAAATGCACCGAAAGACATAGTACCGGAACTCAAAAGTTGTTTTTTTATATAAATAAATTGTATATGAAACTCTAAGCTACATATATATATAATATATATAATATATTAAACATTATATATATAAATAATTATTTATATAGTATATAAGATAGAAAACAAAACAAATCTAATAGACATAGTATTGTTTTTGACACAAATATAACTCAAAAATATTACGAGGTAAGGGTACGGATATAAACTTCCTGCAGATTAAATATAGATATGGAAATTATGTATTATAAAGGTTATATTATAATTATTCCAATAGTAAATTCAGTCACTACATCCAAAAAAAAAAACTTGATCTGCCACAACTGAGCATAAACTCCTCTGACTAAAAGAATTATTGATTTTGAGAGTATTAACTTAAACAGAGGTATCTGTATATATATATATCACATTTGCCGAAATCCGTATTATTGAAAACAGAATCTGCAATAAGAACGACATTAAACCAATGGAAACAATACATTTACCTACAGGGACCCGAATGCCTGTGAATGTTTGAACTAAAAGAAACTCAACGAATTTTATTTGCGCCTTTGTTTTGTTCGCTTCTAAAGGAAAAAATTTTCTCTCCTAAGAGTGTGTAACATGATATATAATAGTTTAATAATTTAATAAAAATAGTTTAAAATTATAAAAAATTATAAAAGATATAATTTTAAGTACAACTGAATTTTATTTATTTTTATTAAGCAAATACACAAAGATATAATTATATATTACATTAATTATAAAACTTAATTACTAAATGAGTACAATGATTTTTAAAAATATTAAAGTGTGATTATTAAACTTAAATATATATATTAAAAATGAATTTTTTTTTTAACTAGGTTAACTAGGTTTTTTTAACTATATGCACCTTATTTTCAAATACGAGTTTAACTTTAAAACTATATACTTAAAACTATTATCATCAGAATTGGTTATATAAAGTCACTGGAACCACTTGTCTAAAAAGTTACATCGAATATATAGTTTATGTGAAAAGTTGCCTCTTAACTCCTTTCTTTACTTTGTTTTCCTGTTTCTGTGGTGTCCTTTGTAGTTTTAAGAAATCCTTCAGTTTTTGTACGTGCTGAACTCTACGATTAACTTCGGTGTCCAATTTCTTCTTAAATATTGTTTCACGGCTCATCGCTGCTAAATCATCTGGACTGCAATAATTAATATTTTTCTTCACATTGTAAATCAAACCGTCGGTGAGATTAATTTTAGAAACGTATCGGCGTATATTATTCTTCTTGCGACGATTAAGTTCCGTCTTATGTAGAAATATAGCGTAGCCAACGGATATCTTCTTGCCATTTTTGCCATTATTTTTGATTAACATTTGAAATTTCATTTTGGATGAAATCGATTATGTTAGACGCGAACAGATAAGTAAGGATATTGATTAGACTGTTGCAGTTCTCTGGCTGATAACTGTAGAATTCGAAGAGATACGTTCAGGATATTGTTAAGACAAAAGCTGTTCTGTTGTGTTGTAGAATTCAATGAAATATATTCAGAATATTTGCGTACTTCGACTGATAATTGTAGCAGTTTTCAAAGAGATAGACTGACAAAAACTGTTAAGAATTGAAAACGATACGATGAGATTGTTACTTAATTTTATGCTGTTCTCTGACTGTTTATTGTAACAAGATTCGAAGAGATATGTTAAGGATGTTACTTAGATTGATGCCGTTGTTTGACTGATAACTGTAGAAGGATTCGCCTTATTTATATTCGCAAAAATGTTTTTTACAAGCAATTATATATGTTTTTTTATCTATTTAATAATTTTTTACTGTTAAGATTACAGTCATAGGTAGTCTTAGGTAGTCTTAGCTCAGGTAAAGGCTTATGGTGTTTTAATATTCGCGAAAATTGTTTTTTATAATAGGTAACATATGTAATTCTTTTATTCTTTTTTAAATTTTTAACATTATAATGTTGGGTAGTATTACCGCTCTACTCTACGCATAACAGGTCTCTAACATTGAAATGTTAAACCTCAATAAAATGTACTCACTTATATTACCTATATATTAACCATGGAGTTCTCAACAGGTATAAGTTTCATGTTTTGCCATTTAATGATTTGACTGAAACGAACCCATATATATTTTATTATTTTAGGAATTTGAAGGATAGCTATGCCTAGCATCTCTTAATACTACTTTATTGGTTTATTATTATGCAATAATTTTCCGGGAAATAACTTCTAGATTATCTGCGAAAACAGTTTCCTTTTGTTTGTTTTTTTTTAGTATTTTGTATTTAGCTATTTACAATACCACAATATAAAAACATAATAAAACATAGTATATAGTATATGTATTTTTTAATGAACAATAAAATTGTAAAACAGATTTCATTAGAAATAAATTAATCGCTTTTAAAATTATTATACCTTTCAACTGTTATTGAGAGACACAAACGTTCAGCTAAAAATATCCAATACCTATCCATGGTTTATGAAAAAAAATTGACTAGGTTTCTTTTTATTCTATAATTTACTGTGTGTTGATTCTAAGAAAATTACCCACATATAGAGTTCAAATCTGTAGTTGATTTTTTTTAATAGCATCTGTTAGATACATTGTCCATAAACATATGCACAATTTTACTGTGATTATGATTAAACAATTTCAAGATTCTTATTATTAACAAAATGAATAAACTAGTATTAGTTAAGCAGTAAAATATAATTTAAATTATAAGTATAGTAGTAAACTAGTATTAGTATAATGTGGGATCTCTTTTAAGGTCTAAGTAAGCCAAATCTGTTCTATGTACAAATCACTTAGATCGTGATGAACAATATAGCTTTAATTTCAATACTATTGCATTTGATCATTTGTGCATCTTTTTGTGCAGAAGCATTATAAAAGATTAACTTAATCATATATAGGGTGTTAAAAACATTTTCATTCGTCTTTATAAGGCCTCAATCAAAATGAATGCTATCCTAACTGAAAAATAAAAATTTGCGTTGTATGGTTAAGGTCGCGATTTCTGTTTGTTTCTTTTAAGAATTAATCCTCAGTTAAGCATTAACTTAAAATATCAAAGTACGAATCAAACATAACATTGAAATATATCTTTTCTAATTAAATTTTTCATTTAAATTTCAAATCCTGTTCAAACCAATATGAAAATACTTATTTGGATAGGCTATAGGCTGTACTTAGTATTATTTATATAATTAAAATATAAATATATAAATAATATAAATATATAAATGTCTTATTTCTTAAGGAAAATATACTTTTTGGTTTTTTGATAAGTTTGAAAAGTCTTCGAAAATTTTAAAACACGTACTTAAGTATGAACACCAACTTGAAATTAAAACAATGTAATTTTTTCTATCGAAACATAGTATCTTTATGAAATTGCGACGTGATCTTCTTCTCTTAAGTGTGAACACACGTTTGTGGAGACCAAAAATATATGGCAAAATAATTAAGTAATGAGTGCTCTATTCAAAACAAATGAAGATGATAAAAAATTACATAAAAACGTACTAAAAATATTTGTTTAATGAAAAATTTATATATTTACGCACAGATGCGTATCAGAAATTTTAAGTGAAAAAAATAAAAAATATTTTTGATTAGATTAATCCATTGAAGAAAGATAAATTTCAGAATTTACACCTGGATAATAAACCTCACAAAGTGAATGGCCAAGAGTTAGTCTTACATGTATTGCTGCTCTTTATCGCTGGTAAATTCTCTAGATATAAACAAAACGTATTTATAAAAATGTATTTTAACAATTTCTGACTGCAGTTAAGAGTATATTTAATAATATGGCAATGTCCCTCTTCCCACTCAGTGCCTCAGAAACCGAAATTCATGGGCGCGCTATCGGCACGAGTGACAAGTAACTTTCAGGTGAGCTGAGACTGCATTCGATCGCTTGAAATTAAAAAGCTTAAGGTGATCTGCTCACTGGCGGGACCCATTAAAAATCAGTTCAACTTCGGCATTCGAACAGTTCAGTTCATTTCGGGAAATCGTATAAAAATTGTGCAAATTAATATATCCAAAAAAAAGAATTAAATATAACTTAATCAAACAGTGTAGGTAACAAAGTGTTTAATTATTTGTTTATTTGTCTTTTTAATAAAATGCATTGATTTATAATTGAAAACATCATACATTTGTGGTTTTAGCAAGAATCTTTTATATTTTGGACATTTTTAATAGAATGTAGCTGAACTGGTTTCTGTTTACGTTTTAAAAAATTACTTAACTTTTCATTTTTTGTGGTTGAGATGTACTTGAAAATCGCTTACACGTATATATGCACGATATAAAAACATGCAAGTAAATTTAATAAATATTATATACAGTGTATTGTAACGGCTCATACGAACAAAAAATTATATACCCATCCACATATTTAACAGCTCCAAGTGCTCTTCGTCAACAGGCGTTTTATAAATTTTGATACTCATAGGTATTGTTTTTGAAAAGAGGAACGCCTTGAAGGCTGAAAGGAAGAAACGGGTTTGAATTGCGCCGAAATTGCTTTAGAAATCAGTATTTATTGTATAACAAGAGTTTTTTTTTTATTATTTTAGACATTAAATATATTTGTTAACTTTTGAATACTTTTATATAATTAATGCTTGAATTTCTGCGCAAACACAATCTTAAAATATTTAGGATATTTCAAAAAATGTTGTTGCAATTTTGATATTGTGGAATATGCATTACTACAGTATACATATTTAATATGAACACATTTAAAAAAAATAAAATATGTATATATTTAAAAATGAAGCAACATATATATATACAACTTTATAATTAGTAAAATAGATTGCTTTTTATTCAAGGTACATCACTTTTATATATAGTTTTATATAGAACATAGTACTATGTAAACTAAATTTCAGTGCCACACTTTCATTTCAAACACGCTTTTTCAAATTTCTCCAGTACTCTGAAATCAATGAATTGAAATTAGTAATAAATTTCTTCAAGAAAAAAAAGGTTTAAAAACTCTCCATTTCCGCCTGATCGGGAGGATAATACGAGTCTATTTTTTTTATTATATCTGTGATACTATAAAGTATTTATATTTATAAATTTTATATTAAATACTTTTTAAAAATTCTATACTCCTGCCTGATCGGAAGACTTAATCTAATTATATGCCTTTAGATGATTAAATTATCCCAATGTTGCGTTTTTTATTAATTTTTATGATCCTCTAAAATATCTAATATACATTCAATTCGTAATAATTTCCATCATTTCAATTTGCAACTTTTTTTTTATTTAAATCCTCCGTGTAAGACTTCAACAAACTAAAATTATCTCTCAAGAAAACAGTGTGAAAAAATTTCAACCATCAATCCAGGAAGAAGTGATGTAGCCCATCAGTTTCATTCTAGTAATCCAGTACAGACAAAACTATTTAAAAAGAGTTTAAATTTAATAAACCAAATTGGTTGTGGTAAAAGTGTCGGGTGCGGTTGATGTAAGGGGTGTGTAAGATCAAAACAGAGTTGTGGTATATTATGTACCACCTCTACGTTCTAGGCCTTAATAACAATGAAATATTTCGAATATTACTATTTATTTTTTGTCGATTATTGTCTTATTGGAATAAAATATTTCGTATCTAGTTATACAAAAAACTAAAATAGATCAGTTATTACACATATTGGCCAATATACTCAATATTTAAAATATTTCTTTGAATTTAAGACTAATAAAATGAGTTTAAATAGATTTCTTTTAATTTCTTAGAATAAATTATTGTCGTCGTATAAGTTACTGCGTAGTGACAATAACCGCTTTATTCTAAATAGATATTATAATTTTATTTCTTGAACTTCCAATATTTCAGCTTAATCTAATATCTCTTTGTATATATTAAATTACACTTTAAACTTAATTGTAAATTTGTATGTATAAGAAAACCACCTGCAAAGTCTAGAGTTTCATGGCAACTTTCATACCATGAAAAATTTAAACTATACTATATACTATAGTACGTCGCGGCGTACTAAGTACAAAATTAGAATTTAATTGCTGTATCAATTGTATTATAACTCTGAGAAAATTAATTGTTTAATTACAATATTATTACAAATATACATAGGTATTATACTATGCAATATAAATATGAAAAGATTGTATATAGTATACCTTTATTTGTTCTATGGCACATAATTTACATTAATATTAATTTGTTCTTTGGGCACGATTCCGATTTCCGGGCACGCCTCTTTGACATCTATAAGTGAAGACACATTTTCAACAATATTTTTTACTATGCTATGTATCAATATAGCTTAGTTTTTGAGATAAAGATTCAAAATATAGATGCAAATTTTTATGTGAAAAGAAGCAACAATGAGTATAGCCAAAAAGTGATGTGTAATCAATGTAAAAATTGCGAGGTTGTTGATACTAGGTGGTGTGTGCAGTTTTTATTAGTAAAATCTACAAGTTTTTTTAATGACAACAAAATATGCAATTTCTCAGGAAATTTATCTTAAATTTTATAGCATACTAAACATAACATACTACCAAACAGATTTCCCAAGCATAAGATTTAAAAGTCTTTTTATTTATTGTTTATTGTTTTTGGATTTCCAGTATAAGTTATAGATTCCTCTATATGCATTTGAAATCCTTTTCTTTACTAAGTGTGTGTATAGTATACATCCACTTTACTTTTCTGCTCTTCGATCTTTTATGGTCATTGCTTCTTTCAAATGCTAATTTGTTTATTCTAATATGTATCACTTACTTATGAAAAGGAAAGCTATTTTCATTTTGAACTGTAATACAATGTGATTTTAATGTTGGTAGTATTTGAGTGAAACATAGCCATCTTACATCTTACATGACCAACATCATAACTTAAGAGACCTTTTTCAGCATTAAGGAACAGTTAAGGTAAACTTATTGAGTTAAATGTAAAGTGGCTTTTTATAATTATTTACGAATTGGTAAGCAATTATTTTGCTGTATTTTTTAATAATGATAACTATAAACTATTATATCTATAGTGTTAAGCAATTGTCAGATTTTAATATAAACAAAATAAGGTATGTATTCCTATCTATTCTCACACTTCTTTTATACCTTCGTCATCATCCTTATACTTTCGTTGAAAATATTTATCGACATATTTCATTTCAAATCTTAGTATTTGCTAATCTACTTTATAAAAAAACGTGCTAAAACTCATAAACATTAAGAATAATATTTAATTTTAATCATTTTAGACATATTTATCTTGAAAAAAAGATAAGACGAACATGAAACTTTTGTTTAATATTATTAATAAATTTAAAATGTTAAAAATTATTACAATATACTTTTGACATTGATAGTATTCGGCTCTTATCACTACTTAAAACTACAATATTTACAATGAATATAATTTTTTTTATAAACTAAAAATAGTTAATATATATATATTAATATTAGTCATATGTTTTATTAACTTAGTTTTTAAATTATGCTGACCAATAAAATCCCAATTTTATAAAGACACACTTCAGAAAATGTTTAAGGAAATTTGTTCCACACCTTTTGTTATCCAAAATGGTATATAATACATATAAATCAATAACCACTACGTATTCCTTTATTTCTCTGACCGATATTTACATAATTACTAATTGTTTTAAAATAAACTTTTTGTATTTATAAAGCATTTAGTGTTTAATCGCGAAATTCCAATAAAAACAACCTTTTTACATACACACACCTAAACATACATAAACACATCTTTAACAGATGTTTACATTTGGGATAATACAATAATTTAAATAAAAAAGAATAATCAGTTCATTTAAAACAAACTGTGCTACGAAAAGAATATCATAAATATGTATAGTAAAATATTCATATAATTTAGGTACATAAAAAAATGGGAGAATTTACAAGGTGTCGAAGATGTCCACATTGTATTAAAACAGTTCGACTTCCTTTACTAAAGTAATAAAGCCACACATTAAAAATGTTATTATAGCAAATCTAGTTCAGTTATGTATAGTTTTAAACTTTAGTAAAACCTATAAAAGTAAAACCCAGCATCTAGTAAAATATCGGAATGAGAATTTTAATTGAAGTTAAATTGAGAAATTTATAAATATCAAAAAACAAAAACTGTTCTAAGTTTATTAATCTTTCTCTGAATAAAATATAGGGTTTTAGCAATTTGTAAATGGATTCACTATAGCCTGTGTTAGGTAACCATATCGTTAAGTTTGTCTATAAAGACAGCATATCGGCTCTGCTGGAGAGCAGATAAGACCTGTAATTAAATTCTTTTTAGTTGTTTATCTAAGAGATTCTATATTCGCCACTTAAAAAACTTCAATCGTAAGATTGAGTAAAATCAATCACTAGCAGAAAACATATATTTTAATCACAGTACCCTGCTACACTAAAAGCCTAAAACACTGTTACCTTGTAATTTAACCCAATAATCCTCTTTATTATTAATACTACAACATATATTTCCCGTCCTTGAAATACTCTGTTCGCAACTGTTTCTATATGGTTGCTCGCAACTATTTCCCAGGTATTGGTACTACATAGTTTTTAATCAACTCTCAACTCATCAAACTACCGTGTTCAGGAGCGACCTACCGCTCTTTTTTTCACACGGATTTTAGAAACATAATTCATGTATCACTGATTGGCGTATTTGTCACATTAGATTTCTATGTCTGCTTCTCTATGGATTTCACTACACTACAGCATTTATTTTTATTGGGTACAGTCCTGTTTCTACTCTTACGAATCTAGCAATCGTTTCGCTGCACATAGACGATCCAAAAAAAGGTATTAAGCAAACAATTATCTAGTATATTTGCATTATTAATACTGTGGACACTAGCCTAGATAAATAATTTTTGTTTACAACAATGATTGTTTTCATAACGCACATATATCGTATATATTACCTATGAATTTGATTTAATAATATACTTAAATATTATATATTATAAGTTTTCATAAGCGTTCTATTGACCCTGTATAGTCATAAATTGTTATATCATTTACTGCAGACTGACCTACAAATTTAGTTAAATTCAACCGCAATACAAAGTTTCAATTGAATAAACTAAAATTGCTACAGGGGTGGGGTTAACAAAATATATGTGTGAATATATCGTATATGGAAGTATGAACACCAATAAATTTCATGTTCGGAATTTGCGTCAAATATGTATTTTTTTATATACATTTTAAACGCTTTAATATTAAATTAAAATTAATTTTTACAAATTCTATATGTAATCACATGTAATATAAATCATCATCATAGGCTATTATATGGCATGTGACGACTGACTATCACTTTGTGGGGAACTGTGGATAGGAAAAGTTGTTTGTCTGAAGTGCTTCCATTTTTATTTAAATAAACTTTGAAATAGTTGATATTTTATTTAAAAAATACTCATTTTCATTGAGCAATTTAATTTAATAGGAATGCGTCAACAATATTATTTGTGTTAAACGAAATTATAGTTAATTTATTGGTATTCACTATTCCTTTGAATAAAAATTATATTTAATTTGTTTTTTTTTAATACATAATTTTAGGCACAAATATAATTAGTTAATGAATAAAATGTTCTCCAATCATGTAATTGTGGCAGCCTTGGCCTTATGTGTAGTGGCTGTACGCGCCGAGGTAAGCACTTTTAAAAATACTTCAAATCTGAATAATAAAGTGTAAATTAATTATAAATAATTATTTGATTTTTAGAAAATCGCACCTATACAAGCTATAGCGTATCTTGATGATCCAGCAGGTGTTTCCCAAGTAAAGGGAAACATTACATTCACACAAAATGCTTGCGGTGAAAATGTTTACATTCGTATTTATGTCACTGGACTCACACCTGGTAAACACGGATTCCATGTGCATGAGAAAGGCGATTTGACTAATGGCTGCTTAAGCACCGGTGGACATTATAATCCAGATAAGGTAAGGTTTTGGATATATTAAAGGGATTATAACAAACAATAAGCACAAAATAGTTTGCTGTATATACAGGCTCTATAAATATCTATATTTTGATACAAGTGTCTAAAATACTTAAGTTCTTTATTAGTACTTAAATTATAAATGCAAAGATGAACTTCTATGTTAAATTTCTTCTTTTTTTCATATGTGTTGCTTAATACTCGTAGTATATGATCAATTAAGCTCATGTAAACATGCATATAGAAAACATAAAAATTATATTGAGGTTATTCACGAGTTCGAGAAACGCGCTCGGTAACCGAGTAACGTATTAAAAGTGCAACGCAGCAACAACAAAATACATGTCTAGTAACATTTGCGTTGCACTTTTACTCTTTTTTCAATGTTGCCATATTTCTTATACATAAGAAAAAATTTTACTCCGAAAATGTATTTATACTAAGCTTTCGTATAGGCAGCATTTAAAATTTGTTTTGTTTTTGGTTTTGATTAATATTAAATATTGTGTTAAGTGAAGAGCAGGAAATTTGGCAAAAGTAAGTTAATAAACTAAATATAATTTTTAAATTAAAATGATTTAATTTAGTGAGTAATGTACAAACAAAAACACGGAAAAGAAAAAATCCAGTACGAAAATGGACAAATGAGGAAAATTTAAAAATATTAGAATATTTTCGCCAGCCATCCATGATTGATTAGAAAAAAATCGATCTTTTTCTGTTAAAAGTATTGAGTTCGAAAAAACTTTAGCATCGTGAGTCAGGCCGGGTTAACCAACAACAACATCTCTTATTCTTAATTTGTAATCACAAACAGCTTGAAGTTTAATGGAATAAATGTGATTTCTTGAAAAATATTTTTCATGATTAATTTGTGGTGCTTCTGCAATTTTTATTTC